ACATATAAATAGTAAAACCCGAGATGTCGGGTTTATATGTCAAATTTTATAAGTTAAATAGGGCAAGGATGTTTAAAAAGGGAAGCATGCAAAGTTTGATGGTTTAATTGTGTGTATATGATCACGTGTGAATTTATTATTGCATTTTTAGGCATGAAAGTTGCAGTTTTTGATGTGTGAGTACAACCATGTATACTTTGGTTAAATGAGGAAAAATGAAATGGGCTTGAGTAGTTTAGGTGCTTGTATGATCACATGATGAGAAACCATTACCCCCGTATGAGTGCGGGCGTGCCTTAAATGGCCATGAGGAAACCCTTGCATGAGTGCAAGCGTGCCTTGAATGGTCGTGATGAAATCCCCGCCTGATTGCGGGTGTGCCTTAAATGGCCGTGATGAGACCCTCGATGGAATTTCGGGCGTGTCCTGAGTGGCCGTGATCAATACCCTGTTAAATCAGAAGACCCCCGTGCAAGGATGGGCGTGCCATGAGTGGCTGTGATGGATGTCGGTCATGTTGGAAGACCGCCAAACCGTAGGATTGTATCGTGGCCCTGAATGGTTTTAATAATCGGAATACGCACAAGTGCATTGTGCATGGAAAGTTGTTATGTGTTCTGATTATGTTATATGCTTATTGTATTATTATGGCACATGATGATTTATAACGTGCAGGGCATATGCCAAGACAAGGTAAGGATGTCTGCGATTGTGTGATGGGGTGTTTGTGTATGCTGTGCTGAGTTGCTTGACACTGTGTATAATTGAGGCAAAGCAAAGGGTTGTATTGCTATTGATCTGCCATCACTTTATCACTACATGTTTTAGGTGCATCCGAGATGAGTTAACTTCCTAAACGAGACTTAGATCGTTAACTTGCTGAGATTTATATCTCATTTATTGATAATTGTTTTCCAGGACCTTAGGATGACGGACCATCCGATGCGGTTCGGGGTGCCGCAGGATATTGATAGTATTATTACTACCCATCGTTTTCCCGGCAAGCCGCATCTTTTTAAGTGCCACCTGTCTACTGTATGGGTGGATGAGGGCCTAACTTTGTGGATCCCTCATCGGTTCCGGGCATGGTTCATCCGTGAGGGCGAGGACCTGTACGGTCCTGTGAGGGTTTCGATGGTCCTCTAGATGGGGGCCCTGAGTAGGAGATATGGGATCCTATGGATATTGATCCACCTGACGGGTCAGTGGAGAATCCCGAGATCAAACCGGATCCCGTGTGCCTGTCGGATTACGACCCATTGGAGCATGACCCTGACTCGCCGAACCACTATGTTGATAGTCCTTGAAGGACATGCCTGGGATAGGTTATTTTTGGATGACCCACTTTTGAAAGGAGTAGATTGACCCTCAACTCAGTATCTTTTTGGTAGGCTCGTAAGGAAGATGCCCTTGAAGGGCTTGTAAATGTGTTTTCTTGGGGTTAATCTAGTAATTAAATAAAATGGCGTTTTGGCATGACTGTTGTTGATTGTTATTACTATCCCTGCTGTTTGCTGTAATGACTGGGTGATTGTTGTCGCTTCCACATGCGTAATCGAAAGATAAAATGAAAGATTGGCGACGAGTCCTGGGACGTTGTATGCAAATGACCTAAGTGAATAGTGGTCGTCGTGTGCTCGAGGGTCGTCGCGTGCTCGAGGGTCGGGGCGTGACAAGAAGAGAAACTAGGAAACATTGCTCGAGAATAGTCTAACTTATTATTGGGGAAATTGAATACTGAAGACTTACTCTGTGACTATTCCTGCGAGCATGAAAGCCTTGCAGGTGACACTACTGACCTTATTAGGCCCTCCCCCAAGAACTCCCAAGCTCTTTAACCACTCCTTTAGATAACAAATCCACCCCTTGTTACTTGGCTTTCATGCTCGAAAAGCCTAGAAGGCGCAAAATTTTCCTAGTCAACGGAAAAGGTTTTCATACCAAAATTTAAATTAGGAAAATGATTTACTCTTTGAAAAAATCGGAAAGCATTTTTCGAAATATGAAAACTCTACGCTTAGGCACAGAAATCCCAATGTTGGTTCCGGGGTCCCGACATTCAGGACCTGGTCTTCGGCGACTGAGTCCGGGACCTCGATGTCCTAGGCTCGAATCCCGGTGCCCATACCCGATGCTCGAGCATCCGAACTCGTGTCCATAAAGGCTGTGCTCAAGTCCTCGACGCTCAAGTTCCGATCCCGACCCTTAGGCCCGAGTCCATAGAGGCAATGTGCAAGTCCTCGACACTCGGGTTTGGGTTCTTGGTTAATGAAACGTTTTATTCTTATAAACATATTTTTAAAAAAAATTCAAATTTTATTTTATTTAAAAAGTGAATTTTTATTATTTTAAAAATCAAAATTTTTAATTATTTTGAATTTTTCTTTTCTTTTCTTTTCTTTTATTTTCCTTTCTTTTTCTTTTCTTTCTTTTTTTTTATTTTTCTTCCTTTTTCTTTTTCTTCTTCCTCATACGGTTGCCGCCCGAGGTGACAGCCGGCGAGCTTGAGCCTCGCCACATCGGGCCTCTGGCGGCGAGGCTCAAGCTCATGGCCAACCTTTGATGCGGGAGCATCCGAATCTATTGAACATTCCTTAAGTTCCAATTTGATTCCATCAACAAGCCCATCACAATCAATGATTATCCAAGCCAAAACTAACTTTGGTTATAATTTGCTTCGATAGGACCAAGAATGAAATTGTCAACGAGGTGACTATCAAGTTACCAATGTTACCAAGATTATCAAGTTACCGATTAAGTTGTCGGTACATTAGAATACTTACCGATTTCGAAGCTAATCAACAACATATCAATGGAAGGTTGTTCTAAGCAATTTCCTATGACATTTGCTGATTTATTGAGGGGTTATCCTCTGGTCAAAGATAGAGCAAGAATTTTGGAAGACAAATCACAAGGATCAAGATTTCAGGTCTCCATGTGTCATCAATTGATTTCTAAGTTCCTAGGTCTTAATTGTTATGTACGTTTGAAAAGTCAAAGTCCTTAGTTCCTAGATAATTAAATGCTTTCTAGCTCCTGAGTCCTTAAATGGTTAAGCAGTTCCCATGGCTCTTAAATGTTTGGTTATTTCCTATGTCTTACGTCCTCCATAAATAGAGGAGAGTCTTCCATTGTAATGCAGAGAAGACTTTGAATACAAATCTATGAGATTTTCCTCTACTTAGCGATTATCATTGGAGAGTAGATAACTCCTATTCTAGTTTCTTTATCTTTGGAGACTGGAAGAAGCACTTTATCATCAGCTGGTGGTTTCCCTTTAGGCCCGAAGTCCTTTAACCTTGGCGGGTGGTTTGTCCTTTAAGCCTCGGTGGTGAACTTCGTCGATTCCGATCTTCATCCTCGGTTGGTGGCGCATCCTTTGTATCTTGGTGGTGATTGTAACCTATCTTTCGTTTCCATTTTACCCTTCGACATACGTCGCACAAACACACACTCATCCAAATACAAAATCCAAAAGACCCATTTCCGAAATCACTCCCCACGCACGCATCAGCCTTGATACGATTGCATACGAGGAGCTAATAATGAAAAGCATATTGATGCACAATTTGTCAAGAGGCAAGAAAATAATCACAAACAAACAACCAAAAATAAAAGGAAAAACCCTTTTAGAGAATCAAGCAAACTCCATGTTGACAACTGAGCAGAGCGCTAACATAAAAAAGAAACACCGGGTCATTGTAGTGGCGTTACCAATTAGCAATGATAGAACCAAAGACACGATGACTTCAATCAAAGCAAAGCTTTCTTACACATTAGCATTAGACTAACCGAGATGGTAACTGAAAACCCTCTCAGCAATCCAAAAGGGTGCCATCTTCTCCAATGAAAACCCACAAGCAGCGAGCGACAATGCCAACCAGAACGGGCGAATTCCCGAACCAGCTGGCGCAATCCGACAAGAAGCCAATTCAATCGGGAAAATTACAAATTCAATCCTCAACCTATTGCATTTGTGCCAATTCAGTCCTAAACCTTTCAATTTGGCCAATTCAGTCATAAACCTTTTGCAGACCAGCCAATTCAGTCCTTTTGGCCGGGCGGCGCTGACGTGGCCGCCGGCCGGCTGACGTGGCACCGGCCGGCATCCACGTGGCAATATTTTAATATTTTTTTATTATTCTTTTCGAATTTTTTTCTTTTTTCTTTTTTTTTCTCTTCCTTATCCCCCCTGGCCTGTCCGGCCAGGGGGGAGGCTCGCCGGCGGCGAGGCGAGCTGGGCCCTCGCCGCCGCTGGACGAGGGTGGAGCTCGCCCAGCCAAGGCGAGCTCCGCCTATCCAGATCTGGGCGAGGGCGGAGCTCGCCCAGCCAAGGCGAGCTCCGCCGTGCCCAGATTTGGCGAGGCGGAGCTCGCCCAGCCATGGTGAGCTCCGCCTCGCCAGATCTGGGCGAGGCTCGCCCAGCGGCAGCGAGGGCCCAGTTTGCCTCGCCGGAGCTGGGCCCTCGCCGGTGAGCCTCCCCCCTGGCCAGACAGGCCAAGGGGGAGAAGGAAAAGAAAAAAAAAAAGAAAAAAAAATTTCGAAAATAATAATAAAAAAATATTAAAATATTGCCACGTGGACGCCGGCCGGTGCCACGTCAGCCGGCCGACGGCCACGTCACACGGGCCGGCCAAAAGGACTGCGATTGGCGGTTTGTAAAGGTTTAGAGCGAATTAGTCAAATGAAAGGTTTAGAGGCTGAATTGGCACAAATACAATATGTTGAGGACTGAATTGATAATTTTCCCCAATTCAATCCGAACGTGTTCGGCGAATTATTGACTTCCGGTTGCTTTTCATCATCAGCTCCTTGTACCACCCCTCCCCTCTGCTTTTCATCATCAGCTCCTTGTAACACCAACCCCCCCCGGGATAAGTTGGCCTCGCTTGGAGAGCGTTCTTGACAAAACTTCAGGGTCAAGTCACGCGACAAAATCGTGCTATGTCACGTGACCGTCACGTGGCAAACAGAGAGGTAAAGGGGACCGCGACGGCCACCATTGAGGCAGATTCTTTCCGGCTTTTCCACTTTCGCTCTTCGTCTCAATCCCTCCTGGACCATGAGTCCCTCCGACGACGACGACGAAGACCCGAAGCTCCCTCACGACGTCGCCGTCGAGGTCCTGAAGCGATTGCCGGCGGGATCTCTCCTCCGGTGCAGGTGCGTCTGCCGGTCGTGGCGTTCCGCCATCGACGACCCTCGTTTCGTGGGCCTCCACTTGACCCACTCCGCTCAAGATGCCTCCAGCTGGTACCTCGTGTCTCTAGATTGGTACCATCGCCTGTGCTCTCTGTTTCCCGATGAGTATCTTACCCTGCCTTCCCAGTCGCAAATCGAAATTCCCTTTGCTGCTCCTCCCATCGGTCACGGTATCGTCGGTTCATGTAATGGTTTGATCTGCGTCGCAGAAACTTCCGGAAATGGCTATGGCCGGTGGATGTATTTGTGGAATGTATTCACCAGAAAGCACAAGGCGGTTCGACGAACCGGTCCGGGCCATCAGTTTTTTCCCCTGGGGACTGCTTATGAAGTTCTAGGGTTTGGCTTCGACGCTAGGTCTCGTGACTATACGATTGTGAGGATTCTCTATTTTTTAGATGATAATCGTCGATGCTTTGGTGGGAGAAAGCCTCGAGTCGAGATTTATTCACTCAGTACAGATTCCTGGAGAAGTTTGGAGTGTGAGGTTCCTGCTTTCTGCGCCAACAGACCTGCGGTCTTCTTGAATGGGAACCTGCACTGGCCTTCTTTCAAGCACGATGATGGTGGATATAGATCAATAGTCTCGTTCGATGTCGCAGGTGAGGTGTTTGACGAAATGGCTCTTCCAGAAGAAATTTTTCACCAAGACAACGGCAGTTTAATGGTCTCTGCGGCAGTATTAAATGACTTGCTGGCTGTGTTCGTTAGTTTCATAAACGCAGGTGTGGATCCCGAACTGCATTCCGTTTGTTCTGTTTGGGTTATGAGGGAGTACGGCGTGCCTAAGTCTTGGACTAAGCTGTATGCTTTTGAGGCTTGTGGACTTGTATCAGGATTTGATGGCTTCACGAGGAATGGCGAGCTTCTGATGGATATAGATGATGAAGAACGAGTTTCTTGGAATCCAATAACGGGCCAATACGCAAATCTTCCACTATCGACGTATTGTGATTTGGTCCCTGTCGTAGAGAGCATTGTTTCACTTTAGAGATGACTCAATTGCTGCCACAATTATTGGCATGATAGATTGATTCTGCTTCCAAAAGAGTTGAAAGAGACATCTGAATGTTGAAGAAATGATCTTGTACATCCACTCCGGCCACAATATGACGGGCAGAAGAAGTGAGGTGGTGCCCCATCTGCTTTTGGTACTTCTTGCAAGCTTTAAAATTCATATGCAGTTTCACATTTTGAGTTTTTCTTTTTAGACTAGGGAAAGTCTGTTCTCTTTACAATTTGCACTAGGTAAAACTCTGCATTTTAGTTGCCCAAACCAAAACCGATCGAAACCCCGAAAATGAAATCTAATCTGATTTTGTCGAGAACCCCCAAGTCCCATATGCATATGCATAGTCTTGAGCTCTTTGTTTCCTAATAAGTGATGTAGAACGAAGGGACTTGAGATGGCCGGAGCTAGCATCAACAGGGTTTTTGGCTCTTATCCTCGTATTCTGTGAAAGGTAAGCGTGGTTAGGAGAAGAGAGTGATGGTGGTTTTGACGGGAAGGATGAGACAAGGACGAAATGGGCAAACAAAGCATGCAATAGCACAGAGAGATGTTTTGTTGGTAAAAGGTGTTTCGTAATATAATTGAAATCAGCCTAATTCACGGTCGGACAAAGGGTAATGAGAGCTTATTGGAGGAAATACCAATATGTCGGAACAAAGCTAAACAAACGCCTAGCACAAATAGTTTTGTTTGAAATATTCGAACTGTATACATGGTGTGCTTATAATGATCTGAGTAATTTAATGACTAGGATAGTAAAAATCAAATCAAGACAAAAATCAAAATCGCAATGGACTATTCTTCCTTCGTCTCAAATGTGTTTTGACTATCGTCCCATTGAAGAAGGGTCAACTTTCTCGTTGATTGTATTAGGCCTGCTTGTGGTTTGGCCTCAACTATATTCGACTCAAATCAGACATTTTAATTTAGAGAAATTTCATTCAACTCCAAACTATAAAAAAAGAATCACTTGTCAACCCCAACAAAAAACAGAAGATATGAGTTTTAAAGAAATTTAACTAGTGAACGCCATCTTTTCATCAAAAGTCTCCAAGTTCATATGAAAAAAGTACATATATTTTGATCCTAATCAATGATTTCAATTGAAATACAAATGAAATTTAGTGAATAACTTAATGCAATGAAAATATAGAAAAAAAAATTAGCATGACATAGGGCAGGTTCAAATTTGGAAATACATCAAATTGAGACCAAAGACTAAACAAAATGAGTTCAATTTGTCAAGTCATTGATTCTCTCTCTCTCTCTCTCTCTCTTTTTATCTTTTAACAACCCTGATTTCGGAAGATGACCCATATAACTTGTTTAAATTATGTTGGCCAATTGATTAAACAGGATGACATGCTTTCTAATTTCAATTGGCCATTATGGGTTGCTATGTTTTCTTTATTTCGAGTCAATAACTTTATACAGTTGTTCCATTACTCTCAGTTCTTTTATATTTCGTTGTCATAATGTTGTATTTCTGAAGTTTGATTTAATGGGTTTTTGCCACAATTTTGGATTAACAATCTCACACCACACAAAACTCAAAAGGCTACCTTTTTTAATCAGGATAAAAGTCAGAATAAGATAAAGAGGTTAATTAAGGTATCATGGATATTCTCTTCTTATTTCCATAATGAATCTATTTTCATATGTGCCAAAGATAACAAATAAAACTTGAAACTTTTATAGTCCGAATAAATTCCCGTTGCCACCGCAAGATATTTGTGAGTTGTCGCTAAAGACGTTAATTCGCTCTCTTCTTTTCCTCCTTCTTTGTCGTCATCATCCCATCTTCTAGCCTCAGTTTCATACACTCTTATTGCTTTGTGGCAAATGCAACCACAACAAATTATATTCTCTGTCTAGAGTGTCGCATGGTGGTGGCTTTGTCTCCTCACAACCTCTCTCGAGCTTGGCTCACTTGCCACTGGACTCTCTTCCTTCCCTCTTCCCAAGCCTCTCTTCTCCAATCGTCCTTTTCTTTCTTGTCCAAACATCACAAGCATGGTCGAAGCTTCACGTTCTTCAACCACCATTGATTCTCCATCTCCACCACTTCCGCTTCTCCTGGTATTGATACCGTGTATTTAACCATTGTGAGTTGGAAAATTTTGTTGGATACGTGCCTGGCCAATTTCGAATTTTATAAAATCAGCTAACTATGTTGTGGTGCATACATACACACACATACATATATATATGGAGAGATATTAAAAAAAAGAAAATGACATAAATAGTCCCTGAACTTAAGCCAAATGTGCAATGTGATCCCTAAACTTTAACCCAATTTGCATTGTGATCCTCGAACTTTTAATTTGTGCTATATAATTCATGAACTTTTGGTACATATTCAATTTAGTCCTTGAACTATATGAAAATATTCAATATAGTCCTTTCATTAATTAAAGATTAAGGACTACATTAAACATGTACCAAAGTCCAGGGATTATATTAAATAAATTAAAAGTTCATGGATCATGTTACACATTGAGCCAAAGTTCAGAGACCGTTTGTGTCATTATCCCTAAAAGAAAAATACATTAGAAAACTCCTGTGTCAAGTCACATGATAGAATCATGCTATGTCACGTGACCGTCACGTGGTAAACAAAGAGGTCAGGGGGATTGTGTGATGGCCACCACTGCAGCAAATTCTTTCCCGCTCTCTACTTCGCTCTTCTTCTCAACCCCTAACCATGAGTTCCCCCCACGACGACGAAGATCCGAAGCTCCCTCACGATGTCGCCGTTGAGGTCCTGAAGCGATTGCCGGTGGAATCTCTCCTCCGATTCAGGTGTGTGTGCCGTTCATGGCGTTCCGCCATCGACGACCCTCGTTTCGTGGTCCTCCACTTGACCTACTCTGCTCCCGATGCCTCCTATTGGTATCTCGTGTCTCTAGATTGGTGAGATGTCTAGGGTTACAAAATTGAACTCGACAAACAACATGGAGACTAAGCATGATGAGCAACGTTTAGTCCTCTTCCTGGAGATCTTAATATTCAAATCTCACAAAATTAGTTTTAATTTGATCAGAATCAACCTTGGTTTTAAAGCTTTTTGCCAAGATTTGCCTTGCTCCATTGACGATGAGGCTGGAGAAGAACCTCCCTCATGAGATAGTCCTCGAAATTTTCTCATGAGATTGTCGGTGAAGCCTCTCATGAGATTCAAATGCGTCTTTAAATCGTGGCGTTGCACGATCGAAGATCCTACCTTCGCAACCATGCACTTGAAGCAATGCGCTCTCAATGGTACGAATTGGTATGTCCTTCTCACATATTGATACTTTTCTCGCAATCGAATGAGCTCTCTGTATCCAGATAAGTTCTTACTTTAAGTTCTCAGTCAGAAATGGAAGTTCCATTCATCATCCCTGTGGGAAATTGTGGAGCCCTAGGTTCATGAAATGAATTGATCTGTGTTGCTGATGCTAATGCTGAAGTTCGCAACCAAACGATGTGGCATTTATTCACTAGAAAGCACAAGGCGATTTTGAGTTCGCCTCCCCGATCTCCGTTTGTTGACATGTATGCTGCTCGCATGGTTCTAGAATTTGGATACAGTGACAGGATTAATGACTACAAGGCTATTAATAATTACTTGTTTTCCTAATAAATATGGAGGATGCAAGGGCGAATTAGTCACTGATATTTATACCCTTAGTACAAATTTGTGGCGGACTGTCAATTTCAATTTCGGGTGCAAGCTGAGCGACGGCTCGAGGGTCTCTTTCAATGGAAATTTGGAATGGAAATCGATTGGTTTCGATGAAGATCGCTGCTGGTGTTATGGATCGATGATCACATCTGTGGTAGTGCATGAGGCCTTTGACAAAATGACGTTGCCGAAGACTTGTTTCGCTTGATCCATGGAACTAGAAGCATTAACCACTGGTTTGGGCATGAACGCCCAGGCAATGCACGAACCGGCTTCTGTTTTTGTTCTGGTTACAGGGCATTCACGTGAGAATCTTTACCTGATGATGCTAGTTAGTGAACAAATAGATCATACTCGTGCGTCTTTACTTGATGATGCTATTTTTTTGTAAAAAATAGATCATACTCCTAGGCACGAACATACTAGTAATTGGGGGTGTTAGCGGGTTGATTCGGTTCAGATATCAACCAATACTCAAATCCTGAACCGACTCAAACATGAATGATATATATTGTTTATGACCCGGCCTGAGACCCGACCCGTACAAAACCCAAACCAAAATGACGGTTCAATTTGATGTAGCTAGCAAGGATTACCTAGAGGGGGGTGAATAGGTGATCTTAAATAATTTTGACCAATTTATAGCTGAAATGATAAATCACAGTAGAGTCTGAATAAAATTCAAATTAAAAACAGTTTATATAGACAGTGCTCTTGATGTGTCGTATGTAAAGTAAGAGATAAGGGATAGAAAAACTGCACACAAGTTTATAGTGGTTCGACTTATAGCAAGCCTACGTCCACTCTCCCACGCTGACAGCCTACTGGTTGGATTTCACTATGTAATCAAGAGGAATTACAGATTCTGAGTGACAGCACTCTTGTATATGATAGGACTCTCTATCTCACACAATCACTCTTACAAAGTATCCCTTAAGATCTTAATATTTAGCTCAAGAAAGACAAGAGAAAGGATCAGAGTATGCTCAGACTTTGGACTTGTTGATTCTCGATTTCGTTCATTGCCTTCTGCTCCTCGTAGGTCTCCTTTTATACTCCTCCACTACCAAACTAGCCGTTGGACAGTCTTCAGAGGATCATCTTCCAATCTTTATCTTGGACAAATTTGTATAAAATGGATTGAGTAGCCGTTGGTTGATAAAATTTGAATCCCGTTGATTCTGGTCACCCATACAATCAGAATCTTGGTTTCCACAAGTAGAGCTTTATCCATTGTAATGCATACTTGTCATAATGTTTGATTGTCAATCAATTAGGCTGAGATTGAGTCAATCAAAACTTTCCTTTTGTGAAATCCATGCCAGATCACTAGCTGTTGTGATTCGTTCTGAATGAGTTTTGCTTTTGCGTCTGAAAAACTTCAGCGTCTGCATCTGCATAATTTCTGCGTCTGAAGAATTTCTGATTCTTGCTTGCTTTACATTCAGAACTTGAGTCAGTGTAGGTCTTCAGTAAAATCTGAGTATTTCAAAATTAGAGTCTGAATGACTTTTATGGTAAAGTCTGAACTTCTTATTTCTGAGTCTGAACTTTTAGTTCTAAGAATTTGTAAAGTCTGATATTTCCTTATGAACTTCCAGAATATATTAACTTGGAATGGAATGCATGTTAGATTCACAAGATAAACATAGAAAGTTTTGTCAGCTTCAAAATTCATTAGGAGTTTTCCTCAACAATCTCCCCCTTTTTGATGGTGACAAAACTTCCATGCGGATTCAATCAATGTCAAATAAATTTGAAGAAAATAATCATATTAAGCATATGAAACACAGATAAGAAGTAAACGTGCAAACTCTTAAGATCTGTGTATTTCTCTTCCTTTGAATATAACCTGCATATTGGAATGTTAGTACGGCAATAGCTGCATAATCTCTCCCCCTTTTTATCATCAGCAAAAAGAATAAATCAACAATAAGCAGAATAATACACTATAAACCATCCAAACAGTCTAACAAAGACAAATGTTAAGAATACAGAACCAGTTTGGAAATAAGAATTGTTTAAAAAGAGGGTATGAAAGCAAGCTATTTCTTTGATGAGGTTCGAACAAGCTGAAAGTTCTCCAAGATAGAAACAGCTTCCTCAATCTTTGTAGAACAATGACCCATAGCTTTCTCCATATTTGTTGAACATAGAGCAATAGCTTCCCCAATCTCTACTTTGTCTTTTTCTGCCTGAAGACGTTGAGTCTGATTGTTTTCCTCAATAATTTTCTGAAGATTCTTCACGTCCTCTTCAAGTGCAGCTTGTTTCTCTTTTATTTCTAGCAGAAGGGTCAGAATGGTCATATTGTCTGAGGTCTGTCCCTAAACATTGTCCGGTGCATTCTGTTCGAACTTATCCCCTGTCTCTGTTGGAATCTCCCCGTGAAAATCTGTCTGTCATGCAGTAGTATTTTCATTCAAAGTGTCTTCAGGATTAAGTGGAGATTGACTTACATCTGTCCTCTGTAGAATATCATCCTGTTGATGCAAATGTGAGTCCCCAGATACTGGTTCTGAAACCTTTTCAGCAGGTGCTGAAACATGTTCTGGACCAACATTTTTGTCCTGTTTCAAGGTATTCTAATTCATCATCTTCATCTCTAAGAAGAATTTTTCTCTTCTTGCTGTACACCTTTAATGGACTTGAAGACACAGTCTGCTGTCTTGCTTGTTCTTTTCCTGTTCTTTTTCTTTCTTCTTTGTCTTTGTCAATTCTTGCTAACAGATTTTGCTTATGACTGCTGAGCATCATTTCCTTTGTTTGTACTTGCTCTTTCCTTTTTATCTTCGAAATGCTTAAGATTCATCTTGGTAAGCATCTTTTCTCCAACAAACATCAAAGGAACAAAGGATTCTAGAGATGAGTGCACCATAAGGAAGTTGTCCCTTGTCCTTTTGGAGAGTTATGTACATGTGAAAAATGATGATGTGAGGAAGAGAGAAAGACTTTCCATTCAGAATAGCCCAGATAAGCTTGATTTCAGACTTAGACAAGTCAGTCTTGGAAGCAGCTTTAGGTCTCAAGCAATTGATAATGATCTTATGCAAGATCACGGTCCTTCTGGTCAGATCAGAATATAAGATATGGCGTTTAAAGCCTCTAGCAAAATTCTGATTTTCTGAAGCTGCTCTAGAAGCATCTTCTAAGCTCATTTCAAATGGAGTAAATTTGTAATTTTTCGCTCCAATAATCAGAGCCAGATCTTCTACTTTCAGATCATACTTTTTATCACCAACAGTGAATTGAAGCCAATTTGGGGACAGAATGAAAAAATTTGAGTAAAAATAAGCAATCAGTTCTGCATATACATGTGCAGATTACAGACAGAATTCATAAATGCCCAATCTTTCAAAAAGATGTTTCACAGAAATGCCAGCCTTTTCCAGATAGTCGAAATCCACACTACGATGATTCATAATCCCTCTAGCAAGTAGCAACTGATAGTATACATTGTGCTCTGTATTTCTGAATAAACTGCCATTACCTTGAACACCAAACGCAATTCCAGCCTTCATCTCAAAGTTATGGAATAGTCTAGCATCATCATCAGGATTCGTAAATTTAGATGCACTTGTAGATTTAGGGCTTATGCGAACAGATTTCTTTTCAGAGGGAGTGGATGATTCCCCAACTTTCTCTTTTCCTTTCGTGGAAGTAGTCTCTTTTGGAGCAGTACTAGCCTGATCATGATCAGTTCTAGAAGAAAATTGAAAATAACTTCGCACAAGACTTTCTTTAGTGTGAAAGTCGTTGTCTTTGAGACACTGACAAAGAACCAATGCAGAAGCATTGCTGCGTTTCAACCTTTCGTATGCTTTCCACACAAGTTTGATATTACTGAAACGAAAATCAGTTTTACCCGTAGTTTTTGGTGGAGACGATGGTGGTGGTTCTTGTGGTGTCGCTTCTGAAGGATCTTGGTGGTGGTCCGATTCTGTGTCTGAGAAATCAGAAATCTCCATGAATTCTACCGGTCCTGAATACTTTGAATTTTTGTTGAGAATTCGCGATGATCGTCTTTTGAAAGGCATTGTGATTCACAGAGGCAAAAAGATTTAATCTTGGAGAAGGAGGAGAAGCAGACTCTGAGTGTCGTGATGATCGGGAGTGAATGGGTTCGTACTTTTAGGGTTTTATAAAAAGAAGAGGACGGTTTTTAGAAAGAAAAACCGCTTTTAGAAGTTTTAAAAAGTGATCCTATTATATAGGAACAGAGAAAAAAATATTTTTTGAGCACACTCAATCAATCAGATAAATTAGAATACATACCTGATTTGCTTCGAAAAGTAACATGTACCAAAATATCCTGCCAGAAATGCCAAAAATATACCTGCCAAAATTTGAATTGAGGACGTACCTTTCATTTGAGTCTGAAATGGACATTCAAATGAAGAACATTTGAGTCTGAAAAAATTTCTGTCTAACAAATACTTCAAGAAAATGGATAAGTGATGCATAGTTTATTTCTAATATATTCAAATGAAGACTTATCAAGAGGTTTTGTGAATATATCAGCTAATTGATTCTTAGAATCAATAAATTGAATATTCACATTACCATTATAAATATGGTCTCTAATAAAGTGATGCTTGATTTCAATGTGCTTAGCTCGTGAATGAAGAATTGGGTTCTTGGTCATATTAATAGCACTTGTGTTGTCACCTTTGATTGCAACACTTGAATCTTCAATAGTAAAGTCTCGTAACTGTTGTTTCATCTACAGAATCTGTGCATAACAACTTCCCAAGGCCACATATTCTACTTCTGCTATAGAAAGTGCAACTGTGCTTTGTTTCTTTGAGTTTCAAGACACCAACATAATTCCAAGTAATTGACATGTTCTTATAATACTTTTCCTGTCCACTTTACAGCCAGCTAAATCAGCATCAGAATAACCAGTAAGAGTAAAATTTGATTCCTTGGAATACCAAAGACCTAACATTGGATAACTTCCAATGTATTTGATTATTCTTTTAACTGCAGAGAGATGTGATTCCTTTGGGTCAGATTAAAATCTTGCACACATACAGACATTAAACAATATGTCAGGTCGCGATGCAATAAGATATAACAATGATCCTATCATACTTCTATACACCTTTTGATCAACCTTTTTACCATTTTCATCTTTGTCCAGTTTGGATGAATGAGACATATGAATGTCTATTTTCTTGCAGTTCTGCAATCCAAACTTCTTGACAATCTCCTTTACATATTTTTCTTGGCAAATGAAGGTTCCATTCCTGGTTTGTTTCACTTGTAGTCCAAGAAAGAATGTCAATTCACCCATCATACTCATCTCGAACTCATTCTATATATTCTTAGAAAATTCTTTGTAAAGCAGTTCGTTAGATGATCCAAAAATAATATCATCAACATAAATTTGAACAAGTAAAAAATCCTTACCTTTTCTCTTAATGACCAAGGTTGTATCAACCTTACCTTTTGTGAAGTCATTTTGTAGAAGGAAGTTAATTAACCTGTCATACCAAGCATGAGATGCTTGTTTTAGACCATAAAATGGCTT